TTATTTTTTTAATATGTTTCATCGAAGAAGATGGATCGATGAATTGGTTACTCACGTTTGGAGCAGCCTAAGAGGGGGTCGTGCGATACAATGGTCGAGGTACGAGGCCAAAGGTCGTGTCAGGGCTTCCTTCGAGGTGTGGAGGACTTTTAAGAGCTTGTACGAGCCGACCATGATGATCGAGTGATCGAGTTTCGAGAGACCACACCAGCAGCCCTTAGAGGCACGTGCTTTCTGACCGTGGTGCCTCGTGGGTGCTTCACGAAAGGATTCATTTCGTTATTCGCGTTCTGGGGCCACGATTAACCCTTTAAGGACGGACATTATCAAACTGTGCGGAGATATCTCTATACTCTTGCGCACGTTCTGTATATACATATACAGGCTGGACGATAATACCTGAGGTATATGTATATGTATATGTCATACATCCGTACATAGTGGTCCTCGGAGGATCACTATCCGTAAAGGGTTAACACCGACACCTAAAGGGCTCGACCTTCGTCTGACAATGAAACAGCATGGAGCACAGAGTTTCAATACATATTTGGACGTCCGCAATTCACAAAATTCATAACTTCCTAATCAATTTTTCTTCAGGACTCTTTTGTTTAAACAATTTTGTCATCGGTGTAACGAAAATGCTTGCAAATACAGTGTCACAAAAATGTTCGAGGTCCTTGAAGGAGGTGGTTCAGGGAGTGATTTGAAACAACTTTTTCCTTAGCGAAAATGTTGTCCGAGGCTTCGTTAAGAAGATATTAACGGAAAACCCCGGACCAATCAGCGCGGCCGCCTAGTGCATAGCCGCGCCTACCGTGGGCGGTCCACCGGCGTACGCGCGCGCTCTGATTGGTCAGGGTTTACTTGTTAATATCTCCTTAACGAAGCCTCGCACAACATTTTCGCTAAGGAAAAAGTTGTTCCAAATCACCTTCCGAATCACCCCCTTCAAGGACCTCGAACATTTTTGAATAAATTTTATCACGTATCGTTTTGTATCATGTATCTGTAGTAGCTATCATTTTGAATCGAATCCAGTGTATGTTTGCAATTTTTACTCGATTATTTTGTAATACGTTAATGTATTACGTAATATATTTCCACATAAAAAATACGGATATCTCAGAAGGACGATTTAAAATAAGCGATCCTTCGATTGTTTCGAGCAGTGTATGTACGTCGTGCCGGTGATGCAGGCGTGTCTCGTCATTGGTGCGCTTATTGAAGGACAGTAAACAGAGTGGTTCGCTCGAACTCAACAGAGAGAAGAATAAAAAAAAAAAAGGTAGCCTCTTTTTGTGGCAATTGGGAGAGAAACACGACTCAAAGGAACGCCTGTGTCGGAGAGTTTATTCGTGACCGAAAGTATCGACTCAAAGATTTGTAAAGCTCTGGGATTCCATTTGAAAGGGATTCCAGCGTCTAGGATCCTAGTGTCTGGATTATGTTGTAGATAATAAGGAAGAGAACTTAGAAAATCACAGGTAAACATTTCTACTTAAACTAGAGTTATATATATATATATATATATATTTTTTTTTTATATTATATTATATATATATATATAAAATATAATATAATATAAAAAAAAAGATTGGATATTAATGTGCAGAATCAATTTCTACAGGTAGTCCAAATTATATATATGCAAATTTCAACGAGGTAAGTCTGTATCATCCCAAGTCCAAGTGTCGATATATTTTTGACAGTAAGTTGAGCTCGAGCGAAATTGCAATTGGTGGTTCACCGTTGCTTTTAACATAGTGTGTGCCAATACGTACTCGTCCTCAACGGTCGTCTCATCCGTCGACTCGCATATGCCCAGCGACGTACATACGCCCATTGTCGACGATCGTGCGTCGATTATGTCTCGATTAACGCCCGTGGTTATGTCGTCTATTTATAAGCGATACCACCAACTGTTACGTATCCGTCCTCTCTCGCCTTAATATCTCTGTCCTCACATCGTCGTGAACTCGGATCGGGCGCTAATCGCAAGGATGTCGCACGGCGTCAAGCACCAGGATACGATCTCATCGCGTCACGAGCTCCCTGCTGGATTTATTCGTCGCTGGGTAAGAATCGTCGTCGAACAAGGCCATCATCGTTCTCACCGATTCACGAGTTTGAAGGAGAGGCGAATTGTTTTTACAAAGTCCTGACGTTGACGGGAACGAACGTAATCGAACACGGACAGGGTCGTCCCTATGAAGCGTCGGAGGCTGTGTTCTCAGAAGTCGAATACGGTTGAATTTTTATTTACTGTTATTGACCTCGTAAACTCGTGTATTGTTTCCTTTTCTTTCCAGAAACTGGGAGAATCTTCTGTTTTTGGTTAGATGAATTTTTAACCGGTACCAAAAGACGATCGTGTCCAAAATCAACGTGAAGGATTCAGAGACCTAATTCAGACCTAACCATCCCTAAATTGGGAGAATTTTATATTTCTGGATAGAAATATCCTGTACGAGATTTCCTGTACCTACAAAGACAGTAAAACGTAAAGATTAATTGCTATTCTGAATTTAGTAAATCCCCAGCGACTTTTATCTTTATTGAATCCAGTTCCTTACATTTAATCAACCTGTGTTAGGTAATAATTGAAAGTTCAGATTATTGTTAACAGTAATTTCGACTATCCATGCACGGAATTAATTTCTACACGTGAGTATGCTAGAAATACAGTTATTTTTCTTTTTTTTTTTTTTTTAAATTATTGACGGATCATTTTTCTATACAAAAAGCGCGCGAGTAAGTTTAAAAAGGTTCGATGCATCGGGTGAAGTGCAAATAAAATTTTTTCAGGTGACCTGCTTCCGTCCACAACCCTACCGCGAGGGCGAAGGGTTAAACCTTTTGTGCGAAGTAACAAGGGTGGTCCCTAACTACCTACATATGCTAGGTACACAGTCGTCGAAGCTCCATACGTTCGATTTAAAGAACGAGAAATTCTATACTCGATGTGTACTGCGTTAATAAAACGAAAAGAACGGCGAGATAATGTAAACGAATTGATATTAAAATATCAATTTTCTAAAATAGGCTAATTACATTATATTCAAACGCTGTATAAGTACACGATTAATGCATTTATCTATATATGTAATTAACGAGTATTCAAAAAAATGTAATCTAGAGATAACAGGTATCTGACAAGCATTATACTTTAAATTGCTTCCAAAATATCAGCAAGAGCGTTATATGATTGTCATCGATACACGTAAATACATTCTGTAACCTTTTTTTAATTTAGACACTGAATGTTACAATTGATAAGACATTGTAAAAAAAAAAAAAACCAGTATTAATTTAAAAACTCTCAATAAATGATCTGAAAGAAATTTTAGTGTTCGTATTATAAAAGTTGAAAGTTTTAACGTACAAAACATGTAGAGAAACCTCACACCCATTTTTAAATATAAAACAATAGTAAAGTTATTCGCTGCTCTCCTTTGGAGACAAGTGCTTCCAAAGCAGTACATAACGAATAATAGGACAAAGTTAAAGGAAACACTCGAAATCCAATTAACAGTTGATCCTATACACGTGGAGCGTTGAACTCTGAACAACTCGTTCAATCTAACACCACTTGAATCTCGAACTCCCCTTATCCTACTCCAGACAGTCTTACAGATTTCCAATCTGGTATACTTCGCCGACCATTATGCATTCTATACGTGTCTGACTCGGCGTACACCTACGTCACTGGATGTCGCACGCCCATATTCCTGATTAGCTGATGGGAATTTCAACCGTTACGCAAATTGAAACGTATTATAAAATCAAACTATCGTTTAAAGAATTATTTTCATTCACACAAATTGATCTCTTTATATTTTCATTTGGACCCAGTTTAATCGAAATTTCATCCGCATCAAGTGAACCACTGGAAATATGGCTTCTTCATTCGCGAGTTTATTATGCACGAATGGTTCAATGAAATTCTTATAAAATTTAGGTACGGGTTTGTGCGCGTAATAGAAAATTCGGAAATAAATTATCGTGCGAAGATTCATCGATGGATCGCATCCGTTTTAAATAATCGCTATAAATATAATATTTTTAATTATTAGGTGTACTGGAAAGTAATGTCGTTTAGTTTTACATAAAATTCAAACAAGTTTTTAATAAATTCCTTTTTTTTTTCATCAATTATGTAATCGGCCCCCGTCATCAACATGGCCTTTTGCCATTTAGTGTACAAACTTTGAATGCCAGATCGATAAAGGTCAATGAGCTAGTGACTGATAAACAAGTATTTCAAATTGAAAAAACGACATTACTTTCCATTCCACCTAATAAATACGAGAAATTATTAATTTTTTAAACGAAATACTCCTCGATACCATGGTTGGCAATTTAATTAAATTTCAAGTACGTCGACACGCGACTAAGCGACAGTTGACAGACATGTATATTCCGTTGGGTACATACTCGTCGCTCGAGGTGGTATCCTTCGAAGTACATCCGCCCATGACGACAACGACGACGGCGATGACGACGCCCCGGGTGAGAGAAACAGGAAGAAAGGAACGAAGAGCGCGCGAACACCACCGATACGTTCACCTCCGATAAACGACTTCACCTATCCCCGAGTCTCTCGCGGTTCTGTCCTCGTCCAATCCCCTAACACAACGTCCCGCGAGACCGGAAGTCCCGTAGAGGTGGTCCTCGACGACAGGACTCGTGTCACCGAGTCGACGCAAGATGGACGGAAAACGAAAGCGTGCCTCCCCTCGCGTAACGCGCGCTGACTCGTGTCTATTCCGTCTAAGCACTTCCTATCGTCGTCGTAGATCACCACGGGGATAGTTACCCCTGGTCCGAAGGTCGTCTAGCAAAAACGTTCGTCTCCCTTCGCGGGATCCTTCCTTGGAATTTCGCTTACGACCCTCGATGGCTCGGGATCGTCGATCAGGGAATTTATCTGATGATATTCGACAATACCTATCGTCGATCTCTCCCGTTTCCTACTTATCTAAACAACGGTGCTGGAAACAATTCGAGGACTGCTTTTTAAGACTACGTTTAAGGACTGCGAGCTATGACGTTGAATGTAGCTCGTAATGTAATTATATGTAATCGTATCAGGCAAGGCTTGATATTAGAATAAAACTGATTATGTATTATAATTAGATGAGTTTATCTAAACAAATTTGAATGTAATTATATGTAATCGTATCAGGCAAGGCTTGATATATTAGAATAAAACTGATTATGTATCATAGGTAGATGAATTTATCTAAACAAATTTGGATGTAATTATATGTAGATGAATTTATCTAAACAAATTTGGATGTAGTTATATGTAGATGAACTTATCTAAACAAATTTGGATGTAATTATAGGTAGATGAATTTATCTAAACAAATTTGGATGTAATTATAGGTAGATGAATTTATCTAAACAAATTTGGATGTAATTATATGTAAATGAATTTATCTAAACAAATTTGGTTGCAATTATATGTAACCGTATCAGGCAAGGCTTGATATTAGAATAAAACTGATCATGTATCATAGGTAGATGAATCTATCTAAGCAAATTTGCATCAAAATATATATATAAGTTTCTGGCCGTTTTTTTAAATCTCCATTACTACACTTACAACAAATATATTTGTACCACACAATTTGTTCATTTGAATTACATCTCTAAAAATATTTATTTGATGCCTTCACCTCCTCACACCCTGCACATTAATTTTAACATGGCGTCATATTACAAGTTTTGTCAAAATGAAATTAATTTGTATCTGTATACGTATCAATATGGATGTACCGCTCTAGAATGTCTAGATCGCGTCTGCCTTCGTTAATATTAAAATCCTCCAATTGTTTTCGAGCAACGTAGTTTCGATTGCACCGGCCGACCAACGTAGTATATCGAAGTCGCTCGCCGCAAGTCGCTCGTTTCCTCGGACACGGTTGATCGGATAATTGATTATTCACGTTTGCACGATCGGATCGCGGCGTTCGTCGATCCGTGTTCGTTGAATAAAATAAAACGGGAACCGGAAAAAAAAAAAAAAAAAGACAGAGCCTCGAGAACAGGTGAAAACTGTAGGGGCGCCGGGCGACAATCGCGATCAATGCGTCGCGCGTTATTGTTACTGTCTTTCCTGTTCCCCGGGTGAAAATAAAAACGAGGACTGCGTGTGTCCCCGGGAAACACCATCAATCGATGTCGAGTGTGACGAACTTCCGATTCAAACTACCTACGAGATCCACCTCGTAAGAATCAAATGAACCGCGTGAAAAGGAAATATTAAGATCAGCCGATGCAATCGTGAAGTCCTAACGCCAGAGCCGAGCAAAATTTTTATCTGTATAAAAATGCTAGACCGAGGATAAGGATAAACAAGCTCAAGGTGATCTTATTCTTGCTCTTGGAAGTATCGAAGATAATGTGTAACGAATTAATTAAGATCACCAGTTTGATTAAAACGATAGCCGTACAATAAATAAAAGATACTATCAAATAATTATACGACACGTAGAATCACGGATTTAACATTTTTTTATCAATTTCTTTGGAATATGAACGATACGATGAAATACTTTACACCGAACACGTAGGAATATTCTAAAATAAATTGTTATTCGACTAAAATTTTGCCCATCTCTGGCATACTCACCCGTTCTAGAAACGGAAACGGAATATCGACGATCGGGGGGGAATCACGCGTAAAAGAACCGATCGAAAAAGAACACTGTAAAAAAATGTCAGCCGTTGTGCGTTTTCGTTGCTCCCGTAGGACAAGCTTTATTTCCCGGTTTTGAGCGAGAGGTACGCCTCTTTGTTTCTCTATTTATCTCGCGTATCCTTCGAAGTCCCAAATGCCGGCTGCGCCTCTGGTCTCTCCTTTTGTGCGTGTGTTTACAACGTTCCGTGCGCTCGTACGAATCTCTGGGACGCGTCTTAACGTAACCGATTATTGTTACCGCGAGATCGAACTTTCTTTCGGCGCGTTATCGTCACCGTGAAAACGTTCCAGCGCGCCGTGTGTGAGATGCGAACACTACAGTCTCTACGCTATCACTAAGCAGGAGGCATTTCTACGTGCCCGTGATCTCTCTCTCTCTGTCTCTGTCTCGCTCCCTCGCCACCCGTCTCGCTCGTCCCCACCGCCGAACGGTTCTCCGTCTCTTTCGCTTTCATCCCGCCGGGTTAGGCGTCTCTCTTTCTACTCCTGTCGCTTCGTCGTCGTTATTCCTCTCTCCGTTCCACCACGGCTTTCCCCCTTTTCGCGGTCCCGTCTCGCTCTTTCCCCCGTGCAGGATCCACGATTCCGTTGGGCTCGTTAATTTCAGACGAAACGAACACGTTACTACAATTTTATACTTCTTTTAAGGAACGCGTACCGAAGGACGTCTTATTTACCCGATCGAACCTATGCGATTTTTCGTTCGGTTTCGCGGTGTCTGTCCTTTTGTTCCAGCACTCGTCGCGTTCCGTTTCGCGTTCGCGTGTCTGTCTCTCTCTGTTCCAGCGGCCGCGACACGCTCCATCCCCGTCTTACTCGCGAGGTTTCGCTATCCTTCTTTCGCTAACTCGCTTCAGGGTGGGGCACACCGGCGTCCAGCACGGAAGGATACCCGGTCGATAGCACGCACCTACACCCACACCAGCTGGCAGCCTCCAGCGCGCGTTACGTGTGCGTAGAAAATCGCACGCAACTCACGCAACAACCGTCGGAGTGGTTGAATCGTCGCAGTTTTCGGACACCCCTCCCTCCCTCCCCTTCGCGAAACGTATGACGTTTAACACACGGCGCCCCGGCGTGCTTCGCGTGTTACTCATTGTCAGCTTCGAGAGACGATACACAGGTCGCGTTACGCCCGGACCACTGGATCGACGGAGGTACTGTACCGATGAGGTCTCTAGCGTAACTCCAAGAATGTTTCATTATTCCTCTACTCGATTAAGGAAACTCTTGAGGAAAGAATTTTTAATGGAATTTCTTTTGGTCCAACCCTTTGGACTCGAGAGACTCTCGGTCATTATTAGGTTTCAAATAGCAAATCTACGATACCTAATGTTTCTTCAGGTTTAATTTCTTTGAAGCTCGAAGTGTCGATAAAATGATTGTCGGTGAGATAAAGGTAATTTTAATCTCAAATCTAGATAGCTCAGAATTTATGGCAATAGAATGCTAAGAAACATCTCGAGTTGCTGGGAGATATCAGATAAAATGGCCTCGAGTGCAAAGGGTTCATCTAATGTACACAAACCGAAGCAATTTTTCTGAATCGATCTTGACACACGAGTATATGCTGTCGAATCATAGCGGTGGGTCCATAAAGAATTTCTCGAAGCGTGACTTCACCGTGTGTATCGAAGACAAGGTTGCATGCTACCCGATTTGCCACTTTCTACATTTTCCACGGCGATCGGGAAACGACGGAACCGGTGTATCGAGAACTTCTAGATCGAGATTGGGGAACTCGAATTCGGCCACGACAACACAAGTGATTGAAAACTAAAACTGTAAATTGTAAATGTGTGTGTAAATAATTGTATATTGTAAACTGTATATATATTATTATTATTATATATATATATTACATATAATTTTATTAAATATAATTATATATAATATGTATAATATAATAATATGTGTATAATATAATAATAATAATATAATAATAATAATATATATATACAGTTTACAATTTACAATTATTTACATATAATATAAATATAAATAATATATATATATACAGTTTAAAATTTACAATTATTTACATATATATAAAATAGCAAGATTCAGTCTCATTTAAAAAATGAAGTCAGGTTCCTATTCTATAATTTCCTAACCAAGTTTCCTTCCTCCGAATAACAATCGTTATTCGTCGATAACTGTTTACGAAACACGATGTTTCTACTCGTCCGTGAACATATCGAGTTGAAATAATAGCGTCGAAGCGTAGTCCCAGCCAAAATCAATAAATTGTTATGATCAGCAGAAAAGGAACGATTTATATATTCCAGTTGCGAACGCAGCTCTCGGAATAATCGAAGGGCCGTGAATTCAAGCGAGGCGAACAATCGTTACGTGCAAACAATCCTACGAATTAAATATGCTGCGTATACATTTTTATTCGCCATACTCCTGAAACGTGTGATCGAGTTTGAACGATACACGTCGAAAACAAATAGTAGGTGTCGTAAAATAAATGTCGCGCCTCTAAATAAACATAAACTCGAATTTATTTGTTTCTAACGAAGTAATCCGTCCCTAAAGAGGTAAAACTTGAACGACACGAGCGTAAGCCTAACAGGTTCGCGAACAAATTGCGCGTGACGCGGCTATTCATACCGACAATCAAGTTTCGCTGTACTCCGTTGAATGCACGCTAATAAGTCGATTCCTCGTGCAGAAGCGAAGAAAAAATGCGCAATACAATTTTCCCGTGCAAGGCCTCGCGTTCGAGGGAATTGAATTTGAAAATCGATAACATTGGGCGCAGCCGTAACGAGTCATTCGTTATTTTCGTTTCGTCGTGATTTTCTCAGGATTATATCGAGGATTGGATAATACACGAGACGATTTGAACCGTGAGTGTAAATTGTCTATCATTGTCGATTGTCGAAATTGTTTCGACGTCATCGACGGTGGATAATGACGAAGGGAACGAGAGCCAAGGTGCGCGGGAGACGCGTCGGATCCCATAGTACGTAGCTAACGTAACGTCTCTCTGTATGCGTTCACGCAATTTTATAGGCGATGAACGAGGCAGATTGGCGGCTGGCAAATGCGTACGATTATCGTACGAGTCTGGCCCGAACAATGATGGAGGTGCGAACGATCGTAAGATGTCATTTTCTTCGTTCAAGTTGTCTATGAAACTCTCCCAAGACTCGTCGTCCGTAGCGACGAGCCGTGAATGGTAGCGCGCTAAAAAGCGCATTCGAATCGTTGCGTATAAACTCGCCGTGTATCACGGTCACGATGCATTATTCAACGTTTCAGTGTTTTGTCCCAGAGCGAACAGGCAAATAACTTACTTGGATTCGATGTTTGATCAGTGCCAACGTTGTACATTCTACTCTTTGCCCTCGATATATTAGGTTGTCCCAAAAGTTCCTTTCGTAATTTGCGCTCAATTATTTTGTGTGGGAGTGCTTATTTAAATAGGCAATCTAATGTTTTAGATATTGATGTTGGAATAGTAATGGAGCAACACGAATCGTACACAATTCAATAATGTAACATTAGACATAAAATATTGTCTATGTATTACTTATTAATAAAACGAAAGAAACTTTTGGGACAACCTAATAAAACGGAATCGAGAACAAATTGCAGCAATCGAAGATTAGATGACTATTAATACGTGGGTCGTTGCTCGTATATGGAGGACGGTGCATTTCACCGAGGATTTAAACAAAATTAATAACGAAAGTCGAGCATCAAAAGAAATTCATGAATCTTGATTGCTTTCGATATTTTTCTTTTTACAACTACAGTGAGTGTAGAACGCACTCGTACACCGATCAATTTCCCAAACAAACTTTTCTGTGAAATTGTAGTTTCTTAACTTCATTCTTTATAATCAATTTTCTTTCAACGAAGTTTTAAAAATTAAAATCAGTTGTACGAATACTTATTGGTTCGATATTTCTACCGATTAATTGTTTTCTTCTTGTTAATTTCGCAACTTACATAAATACCTATTTTTCGTGTACCCTGTCTATTCTAGAGACTTCCGAGATGATGTACAATGTCATTGTTTATAAAAAATAAAGTTAATAAATTACAATTTTACATAGCTTTTTTGGAAATTTATCGGTATACGAATACTTTCTACGCCCACTGTACACGTGCTATTTTGGAACCTATGATCGAAGTAAGACTAAAAGTTGTATTTCCATTGTAAATAAATGGAAAGTTCAGAGAGGCACTGTAACCAAATTCCATGTCAGCGATTGTTTGAACGAAATTTAACCTACAAATTGTAAATAAATTGTAAATAAATGGAATTGTAAATAAATTGTAAATAAATGGAAAGTTCAGAGAGGCACTGTAACCAAATTCCACGTCAGCGATTGTTTGAACGAAATTTGACCTACAAATGTCCCCTAAATTTTGTTTGAATTACATAAGGGAAGTCGTGTTCCAGAGTATCTAGTTTCAGTAGCGCTCGTTTAATGTCCAACTTTTCAAGCGGGGGCTCATTACCGCGAACGTTGGCGTTTGAAGAGAGACTGTAGCGGAGCGAAAACGGGAAGTAACGATTCGTCTCTTCACTGCCCCTTCGAAGTTTCTTTTTTTTTTCGCGTAGCGTTGAAAAGACTCGACGACGAGATGAAAGGGCGACGAGGCCACGGGGAGAAACAACACGCGCCCTAGGTAAACGCAGACACTTTGCTTTCATTGTTTCGTTTTGTTGGCTGGTTGGTCACCTTGTCGGCCACTTGTGTTTCCTGCTTCGGGCGTGCGCGCGTTCGTGCGATCTTTTTC